ACTAGCATCAATAGGCGTCATAATTACAACTAGCATCATCAACTAGCATCAACAGGCATCATAATTACAACTAGCACCATCAGGCGTCATAATTACAACTAGCACCATCAACTAGCATCAACAGGCGTCATAATTACAACTAGCATCAACACGCGTCATAATTACAACTAGCACCATCAACTAGCATCATCAGACGTCATAATGACAACTAGCATCATCAACTAGCATCATCAGGCATCATAATCACAACTAGCATCATCAACTAGCATCATCACGCATCATAGTTACAACTAGCATTATCAACTAGCATCATCAGGCATCATAATTACAACTAGCATTATCAACAAGCACCATCAGGCGTCATAATTACAACCAGCACCATCAACTAGCATCATCAGGCATCATAATCACAACTAGCATCATCAACTAGCATCATCACGCATCATAGTTACAACTAGCATTATCAACTAGCATCATCAGGCATCATAATTACAACTAGCATTATCAACAAGCACCATCAGGCGTCATAATTACAACCAGCACCATCAACTAGCATCATCAGGCATCATAATCACAACTAGCACCATCAACTAGCATCATCAGGCGTCATAATTACAACTAGCATCATCAACTAGCACCATCAGGCGTCATAATTACAACTAGCACCATCAACTAGCACCATGAGGCGTCATAATTACAACTAGCATTATCAACTAGCACCATCAGGCGTCATAATTACAACTAGCATCATCAGGCGTCATAATCACAACTAGCACCATCAACTAGCATCATCAGGCGTCATAAATACAACTAGCACCATCAACTAGCACCATCAGGCGTCATAATTACAACTAGCACCATCAACTAGCATCATCAGACGTCATAATTACAACTAGCACCATCAACTAGCACCATGAGGCATCATAATTACAACTAGCACCATCAGGCATCATAATCACAACTAGCACCATCAGGCATCATAATTACAACTAGCATCATCAACTAGCATCATCAGGCGTCATAATTACAACTAGCACCATCAACTAGCACCATCAGGCGTCATAATTACAACTAGCATCATCAACTAGCACCATGAGGCGTCATAATTACAACTAGCATCATCAGACGTCATAATTACAACTAGCACCATCAACTAGCACCATCAGGCGTCATAATTACAACTAACATCATCAACTAGCACCATCAGGCGTCATAATTACAACTAGCACCATCAGGCGTCATAATTACAACTAGCACCATCAACTAGCACCATCAGACGTCATAATTACAACTAGCATCATCAACTAGCATCAACAGGCGTCATAATTACAACTAGCACCATCAACTAGCATCAACAGGCATCATAATTACAACTAGCATCATCAACTAGCATCAACAGGCGTCATAATTACAACTAGCACCATCAACTAGCATCAACAGGCGTCATAATTACAACTAGCACCATCAACTAGCATCATCAGGCGTCATAATTACAACTAGCACCATCAACTAGCACCATCAGGCGTCATAATTACAACTAGCACCATCAACTAGCACCATGAGGCGTCATAATTACAACTAGCATCATCAACTAGCATCATCAGGCGTCATAAAAACAACTAGCATCATCAGACGTCATAATTACAACTAGCACCATCAACTAGCACCATGAGGCATCATAATCACAACTAGCACCATCAGGCATCATAATCACAACTAGCACCATCAGGCATCATAAATACAACTAGCATCATCAACTAGCATCATCAGGCGTCATAATTACAACTAGCACCATCAGGCATCATAATCACAACTAGCACCATCAGGCATCATAATCACAACTAGCACCATCAGGCATCATAATTACAACTAGCACCATCAACTAGCATCATCAGGCGTCATAATTACAACTAGCACCATCAGGCATCATAATCACAACTAGCACCATCAGGCATCATAATTACAACTAGCACCATCAACTAGCATCATCAGGCGTCATAATTACAACCAGCATCATCAACTAGCATCAACAGGCGTCATAATTACAACTAGCACCATCAACTAGCACCATCAGGCGTCATAATTACAACTAGCATCATCAACTAGCACCATGAGGCGTCATAATTACAACTAGCATCATCAACTAGCACCATGAGGCGTCATAATTACAACTAGCATCATCAGACGTCATAATTACAACTAGCACCATCAACTAGCACCATCAGGCGTCATAATTACAACTAGCATCATCAACTAGCATCAACAGGCGTCATAATTACAACTAACATCATCAACTAGCACCATCAGGCGTCATAATTACAACTAGCACCATCAGGCGTCATAATTACAACTAGCACCATCAGGCATCATAATTACAACTAGCACCATCAGGCATCATAATTACAACCAGCACCATCAACTAGCATCAACAGGCGTCATAATTACAACCAGCACCATCAACTAGCATCAACAGGCGTCATAATTACAACTAGCACCATCAACTAGCACCATGAGGCGTCATAATTACAACTAGCATCATCAACTAGCATCATCAGGCGTCATAAAAACAACTAGCATCATCAGACGTCATAATAACAACTAGCACCATCAACTAGCATCAACAGGCATCATAATTACAACTAGCATCATCAACTAGCACCATCAGGCGTCATAATTACAACTAGCACCATCAACTAGCACCATCAGACGTCATAATTACAACTAGCATCATCAACTAGCATCAACAGGCGTCATAATTACAACTAGCACCATCAACTAGCATCAACAGGCATCATAATTACAACTAGCATCATCAGGCGTCATAATTACAACTAGCACCATCAACTAGCACCATCAGGCGTCATAATTACAACTAGCACCATCAACTAGCACCATGAGGCGTCATAATTACAACTAGCATCATCAACTAGCATCATCAGGCGTCATAAAAACAACTAGCATCATCAGACGTCATAATTACAACTAGCACCATCAACTAGCACCATGAGGCATCATAATCACAACTAGCACCATCAGGCATCATAATCACAACTAGCACCATCAGGCATCATAAATACAACTAGCATCATCAACTAGCATCATCAGGCGTCATAATTACAACTAGCACCATCAGGCATCATAATTACAACTAGCACCATCAGGCATCATAATCACAACTAGCACCATCAGGCATCATAATCACAACTAGCACCATCAGGCATCATAATTACAACTAGCACCATCAACTAGCATCATCAGGCGTCATAATTACAACTAGCACCATCAGGCATCATAATCACAACTAGCACCATCAGGCATCATAATTACAACTAGCACCATCAACTAGCATCATCAGGCGTCATAATTACAACCAGCATCATCAACTAGCATCAACAGGCGTCATAATTACAACTAGCACCATCAACTAGCACCATCAGGCGTCATAATTACAACTAGCATCATCAACTAGCACCATGAGGCGTCATAATTACAACTAGCATCATCAACTAGCACCATGAGGCGTCATAATTACAACTAGCATCATCAGACGTCATAATTACAACTAGCACCATCAACTAGCACCATCAGGCGTCATAATTACAACTAGCATCATCAACTAGCATCAACAGGCGTCATAATTACAACTAGCACCATCAGGCGTCATAATTACAACTAGCATCATCAACTAGCACCATCAGGCGTCATAATTACAACTAGCACCATCAACTAGCACCATCAGGCGTCATAATTACAACTAGCACCATCAACTAGCACCATCAGGCGTCATAATTACAACTAGCATCATCAACTAGCATCATCAGACGTCATAATAACAACTAGCACCATCAACTAGCATCAACAGGCATCATAATTACAACTAGCATCATCAGGCGTCATAATTACAACTAGCACCATCAACTAGCACCATCAGGCGTCATAATTACAACTAGCACCATCAACTAGCACCATGAGGCGTCATAATTACAACTAGCATCATCAACTAGCATCATCAGGCGTCATAAAAACAACTAGCATCATCAGACGTCATAATAACAACTAGCACCATCAACTAGCACCATGAGGCATCATAATCACAACTAGCACCATCAGGCATCATAATCACAACTAGCACCATCAGGCATCATAAATACAACTAGCATCATCAACTAGCATCATCAGGCGTCATAATCACAACTAGCACCATCAGGCATCATAATTACAACTAGCACCATCAACTAGCATCATCAGACGTCATAATTACAACTAGCACCATCAACTAGCACCATCAGACGTCATAATTACAACTAGCATCATCAACTAGCATCAACAGGCGTCATAGTTACAACTAGCACCATCAACTAGCACCATCAGGCGTCATAATTACAACTAGCACCATCAACTAGCACCATCAGACGTCATAATTACAACTAGCACCATCAACTAGCACCATCAGGCGTCATAATTACAACTAGCATCATCAACTAGCACCATGAGGCGTCATAATTACAACTAGCACCATCAACTAGCACCATCAGGCGTCATAATTACAACTAGCACCATCAGGCGTCATAATTACAACTAGCATCATCAACTAGCATCAACAGGCGTCATAAATACAACTAGCATCATCAACTAGCACCATCAGGCGTCATAATTACAACTAGCATCATCAACTAGCATCAACAGGCGTCATAATTACAACTAGCACCATCAACTAGCACCATCAGGCGTCATAATTACAACTAGCACCATCAACTAGCACCATCAGGCGTCATAATTACAACTAGCACCATCAGGCGTCATAATTACAACTAGCACCATCAACTAGCACCAACAGGCGTCATAATTACAACCAGCATCATGAGGCGGCAGACAGATTTAAACTTTAAACCACCCAACACGCGACAACCCCCCCGCACCCCCCGTAGCAACATGGCCGCCAGGTAGTCTGGTGCGAGTGACGTCACCCCCCCATCACCCCTTCCCCTCTCCCCCACCACGTGCGCCGACCCCCCGGCCCAGCTCCCCGGTGCCGTCAGCTGATCCGCCATGGCCGCCACGCGCTACCGCCTCTTCCTGCGCCTGTGCGAGGAGTGGCGCCTCGAGCCGAGCAAGCGCGGCCGCGATCTCGGCGAGCACCTCAGGGCGAGGGTCGCTGCGGCTTTCCGCGAGGGCGAACACACTCAGGTGCGGTGGTGGTGGTGGTGGCGGCGGCTGCTGCTGCTGTTGTTGTTGTGTAATCGCGTGGAGGCGGTGGCGTTTTCGCGGTGAGCGCTGCGCCACGAACCCGGCAACGACACCGGCGACGATTGTCGCCGGACAGGGTCCTGGGCCTCCCCTAGGTCGACTCGGCCTCGAAGCGTGCACACGCGAAGGCCGTGCCGACCTTCGAAGGCGCCTCGCTAACAACACTTGCACCACCCCCCCCAGGAGTCTGGCCAAGGCTGTACATGGTGGTGGGATATTCGTCTCTCAAGTGTGTAAACCGCGGAAGTCAAAAGTGCTGTGCGTTATGCAAGGCGGGTGGAGGTGGAGGTGGGGGGGGGTACAAAATCACCCCGGGTCGTGGCTGGTTGGGTTCGGAGCTTGTAAGAAAATGACGTGAGGTTGAGGGTGGTTCGTGCTCGTGTCGGGGTGATCACCGCGCTATAAGCCACGTGCTTATCGTATGCGGTGCGGGGAATGGAACGCGTGCGAATGAAATCCCTTCCAGTGTGAAGACGTCGTCGATGGGAGGTGTTTTCGCTTAGCCCCCCGCATAACCGACCAGATTGCCTCCTCTCAATGTTGATGGGGTTTTTTTTCTTCTTGGTTCTTTCGGTAAAAGTCACGTAGAATGAGAATAAAACAAAATAAGACGATAAAATTCTCACGACGTTTCGGCCACAACACAAGTAGCCTTCTTCAGGTGAGGAGAGACAGGTCTGTATGGAAGACGGAGCTCGAATTAGCTTCCATACAGACCTGTCTCACACATGAAGAAGGCTACTTGTGTTGTGGCCGAAACGTCGTGAGGATTTTATCGTCTTATTTTGTTTCATTGTTTTATTCTCATTCTACGTGACTTTACCGAAAGAACCATGAAGATGAATCCTTGCAGTCACGAAAGCTTTAAATCTAAAAGTTGATGGTTTTGTGAGGTTTATATTTTTTTGTGTGTGTGTGTAACAGATCGCCGACCCTGAAAAATGCGACCAGATGTACGAGAGTTTGGTGCGAATGAACACGAACTACTTCCAGAAGAAGGTGCCGCAGACACAGCAACACCGCAGGGGGGCGCTGAAGTACAGCAACATCGGGTCACGCGTGTCGCACGTCGCCTGAACTTGCCAATAAATAATGACAAATCACCAGCAGTACACCCAAACGCAATGGCTGTCAACAACATTACGGTTTAGCCCGTATTATTGTGCAGGGAAATTGAGTTTTTAGGTACATACGACCGTTTCAATACGGGGAAGAAAAAAAAATCTATATATTTTTTGTCTTTGTGTGTGTTTATCTCTTGTGCTGGGACTTTGTAGGATGAGCGTTGAGATTTATAAGGGGCACGCGATGGCCAGTGAGGTCTGAATTGGTCTGTAATAAGGTAGGGCACTGATAAGGGGTTGACAGATATGCAAAACACGGCGTCAGATATTGGAAGCTAAGCGGATTTGAGCCTGGCGAGCGATTGGCTGGGTGACCACCGTGCAGAAAACGGAACTACATTGAGCAAAATACATTGTACCGTACTTGTACGCTCCGATTCTTGTATAGCCACTCCCCCCTCCGACAGCGTTCACTGACCAGTGTGGTCAAGTATGATCAAGTATGGTCAAGTATGGTCAAGTATGGTCAAGTATGATCAAGTATGGTGAAGTATGGTGAAGTATGATCAAGTATGATCAAGTATGGTCAAGTATGGGCAAGTATGACCAAGTATGATCAAGTATGGTCAAACGACCCCCCGCGACTGGCACGGTATGGGGAGGCCCTCATCCAGCAGTGGATGACAAAGGGCCGTCGTACACGTGCTCCTTGGAAACAGTGGTATAGATGTAAATGTAATCGGCTTTCAGCATAGAGGAACGAGGTTCGATGTCTGGTCAAGGCAGCTGAAAGGTCAGGAAATATTCTTCAGCTGTATGTAGTATCGACGTTAGAAATGGGCTATCAGCTTATTTAAATAAATGTACCGATTGTCTGTTTAAATACTTGAGTGATTGGGTAACACGGGAATATTTATTGAAGAAAAAAAGTTTCACCTGTGTTGCCAAGCGTGCCGCTGGGTGGGTGGTGGTGGGCGTGGCTTGTAGGAGTTTTCCCAACTTCCAAAAAACGGGGTTTGGGGGTGGTCGCCGATTTGAAACGTTCCTCAGAAATTGACCACAAAAAAAGTAACAATAAATAAGCGGACAGTAGAATCAGAATCTTAATTTATACTGGGGGAATCCGATGAGCTGTGAAGCTCTTTTTCACAGATGTCAAGTATGGGTGGGTCATAGAACCCTCCTCGCCCCCCCCCCCCACCCCTCCTCCATGTATCTGTCCCTCCAAAAAACACTGTGCGTCAACCACAAAGGTCGTTTGCGAGTGCATTAATTTTAGCAAACTGGCCCAATTAGAAAAATAAAGTAGTTTGGTACAATTTTGTTTTGGTCAATTGATGTAACCATCTGATTGTCCCAGTTTGAACACATTACCCGTATAATGAGCGCCATCGTAAACTGTGATTTAAAAGCACAGTGCAGATAGACCAGACACGATGGCCATTTTAGTGGCCACGCCCGTCCACCGTGTAAACCAAGCTGATGTACAATTCTTCTTGATTAACTCCTACGTTCAGTGCCGTAATTCTTTCACCGGCAGAATTGACAGTGTGCTTAGTTTTGTATTTGTTTACGGGCACGGCTTCACGACTAATCGCTCTTTGTTTTGTTTACAACCTCTGCAGTACCCTCGCCGACAAAACACCAGCTTCACCGGGATGACAGCTGAAGACTGCCGCCTCATCCTGTCCACAGGTAATGCAGTACCTCGTAACACACAGACAGCGCAGACAGCAGTCTGCTAATCCAGCAGCTCGGGGTGCAGGGCTTTGTCATTTAATACAATGCACCATGAATGCAACCGCATCTCAAGAATGCTGTAAATAAATGGAGAGACGTGGGCATCCTGGGCAAACGAGACGCACGTGTTATATATATTTGATACTCCGTCTGTACTCCCCGCACCGACCAGCGTCGTGAAGTTTTGATCAGTAAACCCCCATCACCATCTGCGTTGGCGGAGGCCCTCATCCATCAGCGGAGAGGTTCTCCGAGATCCTCCATGGTGGAAGCATTAACCACACGCGTGCGTTTTCCTTGCAGATAACCTGGAGGCCATGGAGGACATAAATAAAAGTTTTTTCAAGAAGTTTTTTGAGAAGTTTGCAAATAAAAATGCGGACGAGCAGGGCAAGCTGCAGCCGTAGGGTTTGTTTCGTTATTCATGTGGAACCAAGACCCCCAGTGGTGGCAGACTAAGAAAAGGAATTGTTGAGCGTATGGTGGGCATCTCCATGTATTTGGCTGGATGGTCACCTCGTGGTTGGCACGCTTGGCTACGTACCTGGCGACCTTGGATTACTGATCACCACCGACGTAGGGCGAATGTGTGAACTAGTCCTGGGCCTCCCCTTGGTCAACTCAGACTTAAATGAGTGTGCCTGATGCCGTGCGTAAACATCACTGGGGAGACAAAAGCGGTCAGACGTGATCCTGGCCACACCACTCCCCCATGGGTACTGGCTAATGGCACTTGCCCCAATAGCCTGTGTGGGCTACATAGGAGATCTGCGTGTAATATATTATATGATAAAATAAATGTCGTAATACAGTGCTGGGATGAAATAAAACTTATTTCACTACTTACTGTCTTCTCTGCCTTTTTTAAGTGGTTGTGTGTGTGGGGGTGTGTGTGTGTATCTTGAGTCTCTTCCCCTTCTACTCCAAAGCACAACTTATGGGTGCATTGTAAATGCAAGCCGTTGGAATAGCCTAAGTCGCAAGTTGCTTTCAGTGGCAGACTTCTAAAAAATGTAAACTATCAAAAAAAAAGATGACCTATACCTCTTTCAAATGTATTAATGGGATCTTTCAGAAACATTGAAGGGTGGATAATTATTTTCGTCAAGACTTGTTTGAAATGTGGTCATCGTGGAGTTGGATTGGTTGTGTAAGCGTGGTGAAAGCCAACGTTTAAAGGGACCTTTTCACGGGACAACAAGAGTATTTCGGTGTTAAGAGCCAGGCTTTGGTTTGTATGGCCCCCAGGTGTGGGTGGGGGGGCACGATGATGGCGCCGTGACGCCGGATCCTGGCCACGCTGTTGCTCGGCTTGATCTGTAGCTCCCAATCTTGAGGCCGGTTTGTTGTGATCACCGGCGAAATGTCACACGGTACTCGGAATTGTAAATGTCGTGGGTTTACTCTCCAACACACCGGTGTGCTGAACTCGTAACTAATTGGCACGTGTTGTTTACGTGACAAACCTTACTAAATTGCCTGTGTCGGGTAGTGGTGGGTTTAACGGAACATTTATATTTTTTCGATATAACCCAAAAAACCCCGTGGATAACTGGTCGCGAAAGCCTTGCGTGTTAAACTCGCAAATCGTGGTTGGCTACAGAAAACCAGCAAGAATGTACACGGTGGTTGACGTGTTGTGACCCCCCAACATTTGTTCCTTTGCATATTAATTTCTGTTTTAAATAATGCTTTAAAAAAATTTGAATTAAATGGGGGCGGTCACAAAGGCATCGAGACCACCCTGTTTGAAAATGCTTCCAAAGTCAGGATAATTAATTGTGCAAAATATAAGCAACAAAAACTTAGACAATTACCCTTTGAAATTACTGTACTTTCCATACACATTTAATATATATCTTGCACTTTTTTCGAGTTAAATGATTAGCCACCGAGTAAATGTAGATTCTTACAATTTGGAAGAGTTTATATTCCCCAGCCAAATCAACACCGGGTGTCATACAGTGCATATTTGCATCTTACAATTTTCACTCACTGCAGAACTAACATTACATAAGGACCGTGTGCTGTGTGTGTACTATAAACGTCGTGCCAAAAAACTCGACTCGACCCGTCCCAGCGTGGGTTTTGTCCAACCCGGCACAAGAGTAGCTTCACAAACGGCCATCTGCTTCACTCGCATCGTGCCCTGACTTTATATCGCCAGCATCCTGCTGGTAGGCGTTGCCTTGCCAGCCCTTGGCCCGAATTAATTAAATCAGTCGATTGATGCTACCTACCCATGCACTCAATTTTAGCGATAACAATGGTAAGGCTTCCTTCCCCCCCCCCCCCGTCTAGCTTGGCTAAAAATCTAACAAGTCGAATCAATTGCATCTCCCACCCAAGGCTAATTTAATTGAAAAATAAACTGGAAAAGCATGGTCAAGTGCTTACACTCAGAAACCGATCGCACCAACTCTTGTCACGAGACCCACACCACATGGTCACTCATACGATGGTGGTTATTGCTTGTGCGAAAAGTTACCCGAATACTGTCGTTTTGAAGGCTAAGCAAAAGAAGAATCTGAGTTTTGTATTGAATAATTGAAAAAAAATAATGGTGATTTGTATGTCTACGCAAAAATTATTGCCTGTCAGTTTTTCGGTTAAGAGCAAGTTGAAGGGCACTGGAAACGTTTTGAAATGTTTGAATATCATCCATGGTGGTTCGTTTTTATATATTGTACAAAATGGCAACACATTCTAGATTTGAAGCTTTCGTGACTGCAATGATTCATACTCTTTGTTTTTTACGGGCAAAGTCACGTAGGTAAAATAAATGAAAACAACTCAATTAAATCAAGACGGAAGCTTGTGTTGCCTCCGAAACGTCGTGATTTAATTTAGTTGTTTTCATTTATTTTACCTACCTGACTTTACCGAAAAAAACAAAGAGTATACCAACACATGTTTGTCTTCAGCTAAAAACATGAACCAAAATTATGTCCATTGCAAAACCTTTCATATATAGCGGGGGGCAGCGGAGAGGCAGTATTGTGCACATTGTAAAATGCACCCAGTGACCTGAGCTCTTGTTCACATCAGTGGTGAGTGATCTCTGTATTGCTCATAGCTCCATCGAAACTACGCGATTAAGCAATGGTCAAACAGCCTCGTGACTGACAGTGTGGCAAAAGCTTTTATCTCAGCGATGGATTGACAAAGGGCTATCCATGATTGAAAAGAATACACGGGGAGATTTTGTGAAATGTGTGCAATTTGCGTATTTTTTTGCAAAAACAAGAAAAACACGTTAATTGTTTCGTATAAGCTACGTTGAATAGGAGTAGGGCGATACCTCCGTGCTGTTAAGTAGGTAATTTTTTTTGCACGTGAAAAAGGCATACAACAAAAACATGCAACTCATGAGCAACACCGAGCCGCAAATTCAGTGACAAAAAGGCCGAGCGCTTAGAAACTCTTTGACTTTTATTTAATGGTTGCGTTATAGAAGTCACGTTGTCACCCGCGCGTCGCTCTGTGATTTTTTTTACAGCGCGTTGTAAATTCACCTTCCACTTAATGTCGTCGACTGGCTGAGAGGGTTAACAATGATTAGCATAAACCTACGGTCTCTTTGAGATAACATTGCGGAGGAAATTCCTAATGCGGACTCGGGAGAGCCCAAACTAAGGCACCATAACGAGACGGAACGACTGACAACGGCACGTGCAGCTCAAAAAAGCCAGGCACGTGGGGCACAGGAGATGTCCGTTACAATACACGGTTACCACGCACAAAGTACCAGCTATTCATATACATATATACACACACACACGCGCGAGCGCAATGTATTATCACAATTGTTACCATTATTATCAGTCATCATCATCACCGTCGTCGTCATCACCACAGCACGTCACTTTGCAAAGTCAAAGTGCAACGCTATACACGAAATTAAATCTAAAGGTGCGTTCAGAATTGTGCAATTTGAGTACAAAGTCAAAATGAGTCGTCACCAGTGACTCCTCCCGTGTTAAAACGGGCCTGGGGAGGTACCCATCATCATCATCATCGGCATCATCATCGTCATCATCATCAGTCATCATTGGAAATGCTTAGGCAGTGGTGAGATTTGCCACAGATCTATGGCATTGAGCAGCCTGCTCTTAATCAGCGAAACCGCTCCCCCACCAAGTAGTGCAGACACTCACCAAGGTGCTATTCTTTTTATCCACCCTGGAGGAATCATGATGACCATTGATGATCAACCTATAATGATGATGGCGATAGAAGTTGACATGGCCACAATTTGAATTCGCCGTCCCAAAAATTGGCCGCCCCTCAAGGTCCCACGATGTGCTTAGGGGCCGATTTTATTTCTAGGACAATTGTAGCCGGCCAATTGCCATGGCAACACGTTGACCGCGAGAAAAGATGACAACCACGAGCCGCTCAATGACGTCGGGTGGCCGCGTGCTGCCTGGACATTCAGCACGAGCCTGGTTGGAAAGCGACGCTCATGTTGCCACCGCCCGCGATCCGATTGGAAGTTGCCACTCTCCTCCCCGCAGTTGCAATCCCAGTTGCCCACTGTGGGGTGGCATCGACCAAGTGTGTGCAGATTTTGGCAACTAATATATATTTGATATATTTGGGCAACCGATATATATATTTTTAAAATTTTTTATCCAGATTTGGCCAACTAATTGTATGGTTTTTTTTCGCAACAGAAAACACTTTTCGGCAAATGTTGCCGGTCAAAATCGGCCAAAATATGGAACCAAATTGCAAATTCACCCCGGCCAATTCATCAACGCAGGCATTTACAAAACAACAGCAGCAGCATATGCGTATTTATATGCCGACGTAATCCTCAAATCGTGCTATGGAAATTAGTGCTCGCTTGCCCGGACCAGCCTTGGCTACTACACAGCAACGAGACACGCACGCACACACACAGCGTCTATTCACACACACGTGCGCGCTCAGCATCTAATCACACACACACACAATAATGCCCATCACTCCAAGTACTATGCAATGTCATTTGCGACAATGCGCGCCTACACAAAATATATTACGTATTGCCGCACGGACAATGCCGTGTACGGGTTGAGTTATAATATACGACGGCCATGTGTTTTACGGTGCAAATGTAAAAGTCCACTTGAGGGAAATTTAAACCACGATCATTGATCGATGCCATTTGTCAGCAAAAGCATGGGCAACAAAAGCCTCTATGCCTAACCGTTTACTCACTCTTGCCACATTTAAGTTGTTTATCCTATATATATCACAGGTGCTGTATATTTATATATTTTTTTTGTTTATTGAAGTGTCTATGACTCCCTCCGACTTGCTCAATGTCTTCCCAATTATGTTTTAAAATTGTTCCTGATCGTGCGAGGTCAAAAGTTCTGAGACGACATCGCTGGATTAAAGATCACAGTCGCCAATTTCGCTTCTTCAATTAAGTTGGACTGAATCACAGCGTTGGCGTGACAATCTCATAGCAGAGTGCGTTGGGAGGAGCGCCTCGTGCCGCTGCAGAGGTTAAGACGGCCACACTCGACCGATGTTTCGTCGTTGTCGAAAGGAGTTCAGCGGGAAATCTCGCAGAGCCGTTCTCTCACGCACGTAGCGCTCCGCCACAAGAGGTTTCCGAATGGAATCTTGTAAAAAAAAAAAAGGCTGAATAAAAAATAAATAATCCTCATATATGCAATGTGCGCAGAGATTTTAAGATTGCCAAGCGACCGATGCTGTTTTTCTGCCAACGCGTCTTAACGCTCCCCGTCTGATGTCAGGGGAGCGGGTGTGTGTGTGTGTGTGTGCACACGTGCGTGACTCTTGTGTGTGCCTGTGCACGCGTGCGTGACTGTGTGTCTGTGCACGCGTGTTTTGCGGGTGGGGAGGCCGACCTCAGTATTCAGGGACGTGTGCTTGATGCAGGAGAGTTACACGTCGGCGTTTCTCAGAACTGGACTTGAAAAAAAACCCCAAACAGAATAGACGCTTCTAACCCTTGAATATAACGAGTGCACGCGTAGGAAATTAGAATTCGCGTGGCAGGATAAGGGAAGCAACGGTGGACATTCAGACGTAGCTATACTGTTAAAATATTAATGGTAGAGTTGGTATTCGTGCGATTCTTATTGCACAACGCTATCACAAAGGCACGGTGTGGCACAGATGGATATACTGTGGAGTGCCAGGGGAGGGCGATCTTGCTGCGTAGATTTACCCAATTGAGTAATTTGCAGGCAATGTTTCCCTCGTGTGCTGTCGATGCCGTCGGGAAGAGGATGTTGCCGCACGTGGTGTGCGGGTGCAGGCTGAAGAAGGGGCAGGTTACCCCCAGACAAATGACATCTTGACCTTGACCCCAACGTGTATCCGTGTATGGGCGTGCGTGCTGATGTGTACGTGTGTATGTATATCACTTCATCACTGGAAGGTGGGAGGGAGTCATCATCATCATCGGAATGAACTTAGCGTTATCGCTTTGCACTGTGCACGCACGCACACAATGAGCTGCGGTCGCTTTACGTCGTGGATAATTCTCTACGTTGTCCCGTTAACTCGTGGCGTGGAGTCGCCTTTTGCGTGGGGGGGGTGGGGCTGGCCACAAAGTTCGTGCGAGGGTTTTTTTAAATCCCCTTCCCTCTCTCTTTACAAAATCGTTCACGAGAGGGGAACTCCGACGACCGTGAGCCCGGTGCGTCTCTCGAGCGCGTGTCGGAGAGCGTCTCTGTCTCTCTCTCCTCTCTCTCTCCTCTCTCTCCTCTCTCTCTCCTCTCTCTCTCCTCTCTCTCTCTCCTCTCGAGCGACCGTCAGCCGCTCAGTCGCCCCGGTGCGGGGAGACGGGCCGCGGCGCCGGCTGCTGCGGCCCGTACGCGAAGGGGAACGGCTGCGTGGGCCACGCGTATTCGCGGAGGCCGCTCTTCTCCCGCAGCAGCTGCAGGTACGCCGCCGACGGTGGGAACAGGTAGAAGGGCAGGCACAGGGCCGGGTGGGGAGGCGGCGGTGGCGGCGGCGGCGTGAGCTGCTGCTGCTGCTGCTGCTGCCCACGCGGGACGGCGCCCGCGCGCGGCCGTTCCGTCGGCGGGCTGGACGGCCGGGGCCGCTTCGCGACGGTGCCGCCGCAGGGGGCCTCGGGCGCGTCGCCCTCGCGCTTGACGCGCGGCGGCGGCGGCGGCGGCGGCGGCGGCGGGGGGGTCGTGCGCTCCCCCACCCCGGACGGCTCCGCCGGGGAGGGCCCGGCGCCCTCACCACCGTAGCCGCTGTCCGTGTCCGTGTCGTCGCTGCCGCTCGCGTCGCCGCCGGCGGCGGCGGCGGCGCAAGCTCGCTGGATGACCGGCACGCAGTTGCGCCGGGGCGCCAACTCGTCATCGCCGCCGCTGCTGCTGCTGCTACCGCTGCTGTCGCTGCTGCCGCTGCTGCTGCCGCTGCTGGAGAAGTGTGACTGCTGCGCCCTCTGTTGCAGGTACTGGACCTTCGCCGGCATCAGCTGCTGCTGCTGCTGCTGGTGGTGGTTGTTGTTCTCGGCGGGCGGGCTCGTATCGAGCTCAACGTGTCCGACCGCGCGCTGCAGGTGACTGAGGAGCCGCGGTCCAGAGGCACGCTCCGTGCGTCCCAGGTAGGACATGACCTCGCGGGCGCACGACTCGTAGCCAGCGCTGTACGACAGCGACGACGAGAGGGGAGTCGATGGCGGTGACGACGATGGCGGTGACGACGATGAGCCCGTGGCAGCGGTCGCTTCGCCTGTGACAGAAACGCGAGACGCGCGGAGCAGAAACGTCATCTCACTCGCTCGCACAAAGTGAAGGCGATTTAGCGTTTTTTTTTTATATCCCAGTCACTAGGACTCATCTTTACAATTTTCTTTTTTTATTGTTCATGTGCGCGTGCGTTTGGTACATGATCGCTGTACCCATCGATTACCTTCCCTACCTATGTTTATTTTACCAGGTAAGGCCCATTGAGCTATAGAGCTATTTTTCAGAAGCGACCTGGCCATAAATGACAGCTCAACTGTGTGGCATGTTACTGTATTCGATCAATACCGACCGTTAATATGGTCACACAACAGTCCTGCGATTGAGTGTTGGCGCCATGAATCCAACAAACCTGAGTTTGATTCCCATCCCCAGCTAAGATCATTGGCAAGTGATATATCAACTGGTTCTGGCTCACCCTCCTTCACTGACCCCCACTGACGTGCGTGGTGAAGTATGGTCAAAACATCCCCCATGACCAACGTTGCACGGGGGAGACATCATTTCAAAAAGTGGCTGTCAATTATTTGCACTGTCATTTAACACAACTATAGAACACAAATTCAGCGGTTCGTAGGAATAAAAGCTTGCGAAAATGGGCAGCGGCAAGCGGCAGAGTACGGAACGCCTATTGCGGAGCGGAATCGTGCTCTCGGTATTAGTAGCGAAAGTTCTCAACGTAAAGTTATTAAAGAGGCATCATCGTGTGCCTGGTATAAATCCACTTGTATCTCTAGTTTTATGTGGTCGGACACCCAATACATGAGGCGCTGATCATTCCTAATTCTAGCACGAGCCTCTCACATTTCATGGGGTTAATGTTCCAGTCCCAGATTTCCACACGTGTGTGAATGCAACTGAATAACGAACTTTATTTATTTCACCAGGTAAGGCCGACTGAGCTATGTAGCTCTTTATCAGATCGACCTGGCCGTCACGTGGACGTTGATAGCAGCCAAATACTCGAAACGCGTGGATGTTGATTCTAAATGTGGAGTGAGAACAAATCCACGCGACCACGGGGAGAACACGCAAACTCCAAATATACAGGCGCCAGTCGAGGGATCGAACCCACGACCTCCAGGATACCAGGCGAGGGAGTTAACATCTCGCAAACCGTGGCGAATGTGAGATGAACCGTCGCGATTCTGGTTTGCAATTCGATTCAAGAATTGTCTTCGTTTATGTTTTTTATTCCTGTTCTCATTTTTTTAAAATCTTAATTGTGTTGTCAATAACAGATTTTTTTGTTACATATTTATTTGTACAGTTTTGTATACTACATTAGCAGAAATGTAACATTAGCGAGTTATATGAATATTACTTAAAGCTTTCGTGACTGCAGGAATTCATATTCTTTGGGTCTTTCGGTAAAGTCACGTAGATAGGTTAAAAAAACCAAACCTATCTACCTGACTTTACCCAAAGACCCAAAGAATATATGAAAATTATTTGCATAGGTCATACATATCAATTCTTACACAGATGATTAATTTTATCACGAGCGTATATAATCGGTTTGCATCAATTAATTGATCCATCGTTACATGTCTGGCAATCAACAATACAGGGCCCGATGGCAATCCCAATGGTTTGTCAATCCACTGCTGGATGAAGACCTCTCCACAACCGCGTTGGCCACGGGGGTTATTTGACCATACTTCAGCACGCTAGTCAGCGTTGATTGGGCAATAGTGGGGGGAGCCTAGGCCCGGTTCAAATGTCACTTGCCACTGACAATAGCCCAAGTCGAGAATCGACCTCAGGTCGACGGTTTCATGGTGCAGTGCCACCAAAACCATTGTGCCACCGCTCCCTCCATCGTCTTTATGATGCGCTGCATGCCCAAGAACTGGCCTACGTACGTGATCATATCAGTCGAACTTTAATCCAGAAACCGAAGTTGAAATATGAAAATGACTCAGTGCAGCTACGTGCAAACCTCACTCGTCACCCCTCCCCCACCCAAGTGCTCAAGAGTGCAAGTCACAGCGCTAGGGCTATTTGAATCTCCGCGCAAGTGCCAGAGCCGCGTGTTGCAATCCTGTGAGCACGCCTCATCAATGCAGTGTGCAAATGAGCTACACAGGAATAATGAAAAGTCAGAGTGCCCTCGTGTTATAATTAGCGGGGCGGGTGGCCCTCAGCTCCGGCCGGAGGTCTTAAGCCAGTGGTGGGAATTACACTTCCTTGAGCTGAGCAGCAGTGCACGGAGTGCACGCACAATATGCAAGCTCCACCACGATGTGCCGCTTTGTTTACCAGCCTGAGAGCAAGGGGTTGACGGCGGTGACGGCGACGGTGATGACGATGAAAGGGCAGAGCCTACCCTAGATGTGATTTGAACTTATGTCCTTAATAGTGACTGCTAGCGGGCTCTGTACGCTACCTTCTTGGCTTTGGTGTCACACTGCACGGGGAGAAAATGATACGAATTTACAATTTTATTTGGCATCACGCTTAAGGCAATGTTGAACTTTAGGCTGACGTTGCCCTATGCGTGGGTTGCTCAGTCAGGCACAATTCTCTATACGTGTTAAAAGCATATATAAGCTGACACTCGTTCTGTGTCTTCACGTATTTTAATCAATTGCCTCTTAGCTTCCCGTACCAATATTACGCAGCGGCATTTATTAAAAGCAAGCAAACCACAGACCCATTTCGACCTTCTGCGGGGCGGGGGGGGGGAGCTGTTCGGTGGACAGCGCAGTATCGTGTGCAAGCTACCAGTGCAGTATTGTATGCACGCCGACCACTACGCGTCATATAATGAGCAATGTTGTCAGTTTAACACGTAGGCTTACGTTACGGATATCCATAATCGAGTGTTTTTTTTGGGTGAGATCGCGTAAATATTAATATGTCGGGCTCGAATTGTAAATTTCGTGGGTTTACTCTCCAACACGCCGGCGTGCTGTACTAGTGACGAACTGGCACGTTTTGTTCACGTGACAAACCTTACCAATTGTCCGTGTCGGGTGGTGGCGGGTTTAACGACACATTTGCACCGGGACCGAAAGGGGCCCAGGGCGGATTTCCACTTAGGGTGGTGAAATGGGGCAGGCGGTTCCTGCTTTAACTCCTTGAGGACCCATGCCAACCACGCAGTACCAGCAAGCGAGACCAAAACACCAGCACCAAAATGTGGCATCTACTACATCGGTGGTGAGATGTTAACTACCTCGCCTGGTATACAGGAGGTAGTGGGGGTTCGATCCTGACCATGATGACGCCTGTATATTTGAGGTTTGCATGTTTTCCCTTTAGTGGTCACGTAGATTTTTCTTTAGGTCCTCTCTACATTTATAAACGACATGCGTTTATAGTATTTATTAGCTACTATACATTTCCATGTGATAAGCCACTTTGTTGAGTTATTATTAATGGTCCGGTTGCTTCTGAAAAATAGCCATATAGCTAGATAGCTCAGTGGGCGTTACCTGGTTGCATTAAAAAAAATACCTTAGAGTTTACCTTCCATCACTGCCATCGCTCCCATCACCCATTCCATCCCTGCATCCACCCTCTCGCAATTCGTTTCTCTCTCCATCCATACATCCATCCCTCTATCCCTAACCTTCTCTCTGCTCCCTCGCTCTCCCGGTCTCCTGCTCGCCCGCTCCCTCCCTCCCTCCCCTGCCTCAATTACAACGCCTCGTTTCCTCGGGAGGGCAATTAGTGGCCGCGTGTACTGTAGAAAGGCTGGCGTGAAATACGTGGATATTTATGTCTGTAATGTGTGGGCAGGCCCCGCCCATCGGGACAGCTCCCCCCGGCCGCCTCCCCCCCCCCCAACGCGATAGGCATGCTGCCGAGGGGGTCCCCCCCCCATTCCTCTTGCACCTCCCCTCTCCCCCACCTCATCCCTTACCCCCCTACTCGTTGACCCCCCACCCCCCCAATTCCTGAGGTTCCCCGAAGGGCTGAATGCGACGAGTGTGCTGACCTTCCCCTCTGATGTTTAGCTCCACCAACTCATCCACCTCTTTCTCAGAATCAGAATATTTATTTATACACCGGAGGAATCCGATGAGCTATAAAGCTTTTCTATCACGGCCGCGGAGCGCGCTGCGCTACCAGCCCCCGCCACCTGAGTTCGATTCCCTGCCGACGGCTGACATCGCTGCGCACGTGATACAATCCGTGAACCCAGCTAACTGGGGGCTGCAATCTGTCTCCTTCACAAACCCATACCGACCAGCGCCGGTGAGGTATGGCCAAACAACCCATCATGACTGACGTGATGTCAGGAGGCCGTCATCCAGCAGTGGATTAACAAGGTGATGTAAAGAAAAGAGAACGCATAATGATGCTTGCGTTAAGATGACACAAACCCTGACGACGGCCTTGGCCGACGAGGATTTTCTATTTAGCGCCAGTTCCATCGAAGGCCATCCCTAGTCGTTTAAATAACGCCCCGCAGCAGCGGCCACAGTTTGCATTCTAACGCGTGCACTGCATGTAGAATTTCTTTCGCACCGTACGTAGCCGACCGTGCTAATCGGAGGTGCGGTGGAAGGACAACAAACTAAACACAAAAAGCAGTTCTAAAAGAATTCGTTTTCAATTGAGATTTAAAAGCGCACAGCTCCAGTGGCTTTCTCATGTCGGAAGGAAGAGCGTTCCAGACGGCCAGCCGCAGCTGCCCCTGTCCAGCCGTGGCCTCTGACCTCTGTGAAGTCATCTCTCCGTCTGCTACGTACGGCGCGAAAGAAATTAAACAGACACATACATCCTGAACTTTTTTCGCACCACCGTACGTAGCCAACCACGCTAACCGGAGGGTGCTAAAACCCAAGTTGGTTGACTCCTGGTCAAAACGATCTCCAGGCAAATGACTGAAACACAGAGGTGGGCCCCCTTTCAAAACTTAACAGCCACTTTCCAAGAATGGTTTTGGTAGTTTCCTTAAAGCCGCGATTGGGGACGTTAATAAGGGATGTTCAATACGGAATGCTAAGAAGAGTAAATGTGATGTATTGGTGGTACACCACCAATACATGACATTTGTCGCAATAATTATTTATATTCCCGCAATTCGCAAACCTCGGTCAGAAAATCTCGCGGGCTGCGTCAAAATGAGTTGTCGTGATGTCGAAGTGGCCGGAATACGAATGTCGGTTAAAATTTAGATTGTACACTTTTTTGTGAGGACCGGTGTGTAATGCTGCACCGGTGTACCGCGAATACGTCCTAAGCAGCTAGATGGCCGGCGGCTGACCCCGGTCGATGGAGTGGCAGCCCAAGGAAGGACGTACGCATGACAGCATGGCCACCGCAGTTTGGTAGAAAGGTTCAAGCAACTCGTGCACTGCACCCCAATGCAGATTCTTAATTGCCATGAGTGGGACGAGGGTGGGGAAGCGGGCGGGCGGGGGAGGGGGGTGAGTTTAGGGGGTTCGGGGAGGGCACGTGAGACCAGTGGTCTTGATTGGGGCAGAACGGCGGGGGGGGGGAGGCGTACCAAGTGGGCCGAGAAGCACCGCATTAACACTTTCGAGCGCAGTTGGAGAAAGCGTTCCAAAACACCAACTTGCATTAGCGCCCTGTCACCTGACTGTGGCACACCCGCCACGCGGCACGCCTGGGTGTGATCACACGAGTGGGAGCAGCAGCAGCAGCAGCAGGACGAAGTGTTGATGGCATGCACCGTCCGAATTTAGCATTGGTGCCTCCTCACACTGGAGGGAGTGGAGCGAAGCGGTGCAGATCTGCCATCGCAGCCACTCTCACCGCCCCGTGGGGCGGTGAGAGTGGGGGTGCCTCCCTCCACCACCCCGGCACATACCCCCCCCCCCCCCCACCGCGTCGATTTAATCTCAGGGCGCAACGCCACCACCGTGTACTCTACCCACCCCCTCCGTCCACCCCGCCACCCTCGCCGTGTCACCCATATTGTGGCTGCCAATGGTAACGACAGAAATAACCCGCGTGCGTTCTATTAATTATTGCATGGGGCAGACTTAAGCTTCATTAGGCTGGTGCGATGGTGGAAATCCACTGGATTCGTAACCCTCAATTCGCTCTGTTCACCCACGAGTATGAATGGGTTTGTACGTATGTTGAATTTCTTTCACACCCTACGTAGCCATCCGTGCTAATCGGAGGTGCCAGTTTAGTCGATAGGGAAAGGTCGCGTGTGTTGTGGGGCAAAGAAGTCTGGAAACTTTCAACATGTGTGACCGGCGTGGAAGAGTAGGCCAAATATTCCCTCGAGAGAGAGAGAGAAAGGGTGGGGGCCCTCTAGATTTGCCTCGAGTGGATGCCCTTCCGCCAACGGTGGCGCGAGCGAGACATTGCAGGGCTGTCCCTTCACCCGTTTAGGCCACGCGTCAAACACCTCTACTGCTGGCATATCCAGCACTCTGCAATCACCATCAGCAGCAGCAGCATCGGCGAACACTTGCGGGGGTTCTTCATCGCAAGGCCCGCGGGCGGCCCCCGGTGGCCTTTTAGTGCGGCCCCCTCCGACAATTACACAAATGTGAAAACACCCCCCCCCCCCCCCCCCATCATTATCGTGCTACCAAACCCCAATGGGTTTCAAATGCGTGACGGCCCTCGCACTGATGATGTCGTAACGGCGAAAGTGCCGCCCCACCCCCCCTACTGAAAATGAGTGAAGACCCCACGGTGAGTGGTGTAGAACACACGCTGAGTGGTGTACGCCTCTCACCGTGTTCTTGGTAAACAACAACAACGACAACACCAACACTTTAATGCGAAATTCGTTGGGGTTGCAACCCACAGGTGCCGCTCCGCGTTGCCCTGAATAACAGTCGGATTATAAATATCTTGCAGGGGGAGACGCCGAGCGGCGCTCATCCCATTTGCATCCCCCCCCCCCCGCCCCAGTGTCTATTTTGGGAGTCGTTTAGACTCAGCCGGGACCACCACGGCGGGCGCGGCGGTGGCCAATCCACTTACCCAGATGAGGCGCTCATCCCAAATGTGGCCAACGGGGGCGCTCTTAACCCCAGAAGTAATCTTCGCAAGGCCCCCACGCACCCCCCCACCCACGTCCGTGAGCTATTTGTCCGCTGCCACCAAAAGCCACCTTTGTTTTCACCGGGGGTTTTTTTCGCTCCACATTCAGGAAACACGCATCGGGGTTATTTAGATTATTATTTGGATTTTTAGTTAGATTATTTAGATTAGTATTTCAATTATTATTTAGAGTGGTATTTAGATTATTCAGATGCTTATTTAGGTTTTTATTTAGATTATTATTTAGATTATTCAGACGATTATTTAGATTATTATGTAGATTACTCTTTTGATTATTATTTAGACCATTATTTACATTATTCGGATGTTTTTTTAGAAATATTCTTGAGATTATTTCGCCACTCTAAATTCCCACGTGATGCGCCGCTTTGTCGAGCTGTCACTTGTGGCCAGGTCGCTTCTGAGTTATACGTTACTACCCCAGTGGGCTCTGCCCGGTACGGATGGCGGTGCTTTAGTTTTATTAGTATGTTTATGGGTGATTTGTTAACCTTTAGTATACTTTGCACTATTATCGCGTTTTGGTATCGTTTGTTGTTGTAACTTCCTTACCCTCCTCGACTGGACATCGGTGAAAAAGAGCTTTATAGATCATCAGATTCCTCCAGTATAAATACATATTCTGATTCACGTTATCTATATACGTCTTCCTCTTCCTGGCATCATCATTATCACCATACCACCATCAGCCATGATCAAGCCACTGCTGGATCAATGACTCCCCAAAACTGTCGCCATCTCTCACAGTCCTGCGATGTATAAATCCATGGAGTGCCTGCACGTGGTTTCGATTTCATCGCTCCATCTCCGAGGTGGATATTCTCGAGGGCGTGTTCCCTGCTTTGGCTGCCACTCCGTGGCGAGATGTTAACTACCTCGCCATGTATACAGGAGTTCGTGGGTTCGATCCCGACCCTGACGCCTGCTGTATATTTGTAATTTGAGTGTCTCTCTATCCCCCCGTGGTCTCGTGGATTTTTCTCCGGGTCCTCCGGTTGTTCCCTCCACATTTAGAATCAACACGCATTCAGAGTATTTGGCTGCATTAATTTTGAAGGTTATAAATCACTTCATTGAAACATCATTTGTGGCCAGGTCGCTTCTGAAAAAGAGCTATATTAGTGAGTGGGTCTTAGCTGGTTAATGAAAAAAAAACAAGTTTAGTTTGTAGTTCAGTTGAGTTGTTGCTCCCGCTGGTTTGAGCGGGCATGTAGCGTGAATTCGTGGCCAGGGCCGTGTGAGTGTTTGTCTTTGTTGAGCCGTACCGCTCTGCAGGGCGGCGATGTGCTCCTTCTGTTGCTGTGAAAGCGCGGTGAGGGCCTGCATGTGCTGCACCGTGAGCTCCAGCACCACGGCCTTCTCCAGGTGTCCCAGCGTCTGCACGGGACCACGGTGCAAGAAGACAATGAGTTAGAGCCGATGGGTTGGCATTGACAGCGGGCGCCTAAATGACTCGGCAACTCAAAGCAGCCTTACATCAACATCTCATCCCAACCACTGCAATGCCTGCTGCAGTCTAACCCAATGGGACCTCCCCAGCAGCAGTTGTCAATACGCGGTCAACGACCGGTTCGGATATCGCTCATCGCCGGGAATCGAACTCAGGTGGCTGGGTTTATATCGCAGTGCGCGCTAACCACCGCGCCACCGCTCCACCCAAGGTGTTAACAACCACACGCACGGTCTTGTGCGAGTGCTGTTTGTGTTTATGGCCCGGTATGGACTTGGGGGTTGCCGTTTTCACAATACAATACGACCGCAGCGGTTTCGAGCAGGGCAATAAGCCAACCCGTGGAGTCGCAAGCCACCCCCCCCCCTCCACCACCTCTCTCGCGAAAAGCAGTTGATTTTGCAGAGTGGCACGTGTGAGAAATGGGGAATAGCCTCCGAGTCGAACAATGGGCCAAGGATCAAGAGCGCGAGCTCCACGTAGCCGCCTCGAGACAAACAATGCGACCAACAAGCGGCGCGCGCGCTGCTTGTGGGTCCGTCCCACGTGCGTGCCTCCTGCCGCTGCGTGGGATTTCAATCGAGCCACGAAGAATCCAACAAGGCGTGGCAGTGAGTGAGCAGGCGGGCCGCGTGCGCAGTGGTTAGCGCGCCGTGTTCGGACGTCTGCTGCTGCGACCTTACTTCTATTCCTGGCCGTTGCTGTGACTCACATCGGCAGCGAGTGATTTACCCGAATCTGTCCTGCCCCTCCACCCCGCCGCCGGCCCTTCGCCCCACATGCGCCCACCCGTGCCGCTAAACCAGCGTGAAGTATGGGTCAATAAATACACGTGACGCACGCGGCGTGGGAAGGGGCCATCTTCATCCAGCAGTGGATTGATGACGGATTTTAAAAAGTGAATGAGCGCACCCGATTCGATGCGATACAAGTGTGTTGTTCGCTCAATAATCGAGTCAATTGACGTTCAGTATTGTCGTACCGTGCGCAGAAAGGCGACTGCTGCAGCCACTAGTGGCCGCGCCAGTCATCAAAACGAGAACCAAGAAGTGATTGTTTAATCGACTCGCGACAATGTGTTGAATCGGTGGTGAATCATTCGACCTCTTCAACCTCTAGAGTCGCGGGAGTAAACACAATGCTGCATCGTCCGTCATTTCCTCCAAATACGCCGCAGAATAACAACAACAAAATTAACAAGGAACATGCACTCTGATTTCGGAATTCCCCTAAATTGCCAGACTGACTGCGCACACTCACTCTCTCCAGAGACAAAGATCCCCCATATAGCCTGAACAGACTGTTGGGGCAAGTGCTGTTAGCGAGCACCTATGAAGGCCGGAACGGCACACGAGGGGGTGGGTGGCCAGCACCACGCCCGGCCGCCTTTGTCTCCCCAGTGGCGATGTCTATACACCGCACCAGGTACTCATTTGAGGTTGAGTCGACCTAGGGGAGGCCCAGGACCGGTTCAGATAATCGTTACACTGGTGTTGGCCTGAGTGGGAACCGAAATCGGGTCGCCAGTTGCGTAGCGCAGCGTAGCGCTAATCGCTACACCACCGCTCCCCAAAGCAAAGCTTCCCCATGTAGCCTTAACAGACTCTAGGGGCAAGTGCTGTTAGCGAGCACCTATGAAGGCCGGAACGGTACACCACCGCTCCCCACACACCCACACACAAGCATCACTGCCAAAGTTCTGAGAATTGCCTTTGGTTCTCAGCACCTGTGTAAACCCAAAACCCCCCAAAAGAATCTGAACGCAGATGTCAGAGGCCTGTTGACTCTGGGGCCACGTTTGCATGATAACGGATGCCCCGTGAGTTAGGTCGCCCACGCTGAAATGGCTGGCCAATCTCCGTTAGGATTACAGAGCCAGTGGGAATCCAACTCTCCTGTGGCAGGGAGCAGTCTGACCAACCAAGTTGTGCAACCTCAATAATGTGTGACGCTCATTTTATCGACCCAGGAGGAACTGACTGGGAAGGATTGTGATGGATGGTGATAGGCGATTATGGATGATTGATTGTTTGATTATGGTTGATAATGACAATGATGATAAAAGAGACAAAGGAAAATATATGATGATTACAATGATGCATGGCTACTGCCAATGATGATGCTAATAATAATAATGTGTCGGTTAGTGAGATGATGATGTGTGATGATGGCCCATAATGGTAGTGATGGATGATGGCTATAGCTGCTGCCACTGATGTATTGATGATCGTGATGATGGATAATTATAAATAATGGCTACGAGCAATGGGTGTTGCTGCTACTGCTGCCGATGATGTTTTTTTTCTGCTGGACGATGATTTATAGAAACTGATGATTGTAGATGGACGAGAACGATGATTATGGCCGACCCTGCGGTTTTTAATTCGCTGCTGTTAAAGCAAATAATCCCCGGCCGCCCTTGTCTTCCCAGGACTAATGCTTGCGAATCGCACCATGAGGTGACACACACACACACACTATGTGCCACATCATAAACTCATAAATAGAAAGTCTTTATGAAATCATATTCCAAGTATATGCTTCGCAGTAAGTCGCTTCCCTTGTAAATTAACGCTCAGAGCTGGGATAACTACCGTCAGGTTGAAGTCAATAATGTTTACGTAAAAAAAACCTTCCAGTGTAACACACTCACAAAAGTTGACCCTGACATACACAATGCATGATAACACAAAGGCGCATACACGCTAGCCAGGAACGGCACACGAACACAGGCGCACACAAACCCGAGAAACATGTACACACGCACGCGAAAGCTGGCTCTCACAAGCACATACATAAGCAAAAAAAATAACAAAAACACTCAACACATTCGTCTGCCTTACAAAAAAATATGACCCTTCTTCACAGGAGAGTCTGGGGCTTTTACGTGTGCGGTGAAGGGCCTATTGCCTGTGCAGCCACTGCCAGAGAGAGGCAGCAGTATCACCAAATGATTGCTTTCATACGTAAGCTAGCTAAGCACACAAAGACACGCACACGTTGTCACAGCGAGCAGCTCTCACACAACGCAAGGCGCCGGGCTCACACGTGCAGAGGAGAGACGCGCTCGCTCACCCCACACAAAGACAAAGAAGATACCCCCTACCCCACCGTATAGCCTTAACAGACCGTTGGGGCAAGTGCTGTTAGCGAGCACCCATGAAGGTCGGCACGGCACACCAGAAGGTGGGCGGTCATCACCACCCCACCAGGTACTCATTTTAGGCTGAATCGTCCTAGGGGGAGACCCGGCTCCGGTTAGAACTCTGGTTCGCCGGGTTCGTAGTGCAGCACGCTAGCCGCTACACCACCGCTCCCAAATTCACACAAAGACACAAAGGCGAAGATGCCCCGTATAGCCTTAACAGACCGTTGGGGGCAAGTGCTGTTAGCGAGCACCAACGAAGGCCGGCACGGCACACGAGGGGTTGGGTGGCCAGCATCACGCCCGCGTGTGTCACAAAGACACACGCGCTCGCTCACACACAAAGTCAAAATACAACAGACAGTTGGGACAAGTGGTATTATATATATAAAACGTATTAAGATATTTACGGCGCACTAGGGGGTGGTTTGGTCAGTACACACGGACGCATTGGCCTCCACGAGTTCCGATGTTTAAGACCTCACAAACGGAAACATTCACTCAACCTCACACTCGTTCGCTCGCATCGAGTCTCTCCCACTCACCCACCCACCCACTCACTCTCCCACCCACCCACTCACTCTCCCACCCACTCACTCTCCCACCCACTCACTCTCCCACCCACTCACTCTCCCACCCACTCACTCTCCCACCCACCCACTCTCCCACTCACCCACTCTCCCACTCACCCACTCTCCCACCCACCCACTCTCCCACCCACCCACTCTCCCACCCACCCACTCTCCCACCCACCCACTCTCCCACCCACCCACTCACCCACTCACCCATCCACCAATTTACTCGCTCACTCACCGCTAGCTTCAAGTTCTCTGGCAGCAGCTCTTTGAGCTGCACGATGCACTCATTGATCCGATCCCTCCGCTTCTTCTCGATCAATCTGTGCGGCAGCTTGTAGCCCTCCTGCACACACGCACACACGCACACACAAGCGGAGTGATGTTAGCGAGCGCCTATCAAGGGCGGCGCAAAATGAAAAGAAAGCAGCGGGGCTGCCGTTTCGTGGCCAGCACAACGCCGCCTTTGTTTCCACATCGCTGATATTTACACACGCACCGAACTGGGAACTCGTTTTAAGGCTGAGTCAACCTAGGGGGGGGGGGGTAGCCCAAGATTGGTTAAGATATCACTCGCCGTTGGTGTTAACCAGGAATTGAACTCAGGCGGGCCGAGTTTGTAGCGCAGTGCGCTAAACCACCGCGCCACCGCTCCCATTCCCGTAGCAGTCTTTTGTTACACACTTTTATTGAACTTGCCGTGTTGTCCGTTTATATTCTTTAAAATCGTTGTCGCTTAAAATCTTCGGATCTACGAAGCAAAACGAGCTGAAATTGTCGACACAGATTCCCCGCCTCGCGTGACAATTGAAGATTTAATTTAAAAAAAATAAACCGGTCCAGGTCCCGCCGATCTTAGACCTATTCGTGGTTTTGTTTGAACTTTCAAACGCCAAAGCAAATGCCCTCGTTGTGTCTGGACCCCAGTATGAGTTTACATTCCCTTCTCAAATCGAGCAGAACACAGCCACCTGCTTATGGGGGGGGGGGGGGGGTAATGGCACAGTTGTCAACAACAACAACAACCAATACAGCAAAGGAGAAAATGAAACACACGGGCTAATGATATCTCATAAATGGGATACATATTCATGGCCGCATATTCATTTCATAGGGGGGGGGAGCAGAGCAATGGACCGATCAGTGGCGCCCCAGCGTGCCTCTTGCACACCTCCGTTCTGAAGCAGACCACCCGAGTTTGATTCCCGGACACGGTAAATCATTACTGGCGAGACGAGATTTCTGAACCGGTTTTGGCATCTCCCCCCCCCCCCCCACAAGCACCTCTTCACCAACCCGCATTGAGCAGCGTGGTGAAGTATGGTCATACAACCCAGCCTCCCTACCCCCCCCCCCCCCATGACCGGACTTCATCCAGCAGTGGATTGACAATGAGCTGTAACTTGAAAAAGGGAATATCGAATACGTTGAAAATGACTGATGTACATTCAAAACAATGTTAAAGTGCCCAAATGGTTCACAGATTTAGCGAACGACTCCACCGCTCCCTTCCTGAGTGTTATTAATACCTATGACTTTGTGTGCATAACTCTGAAAATCCTAAAACTAACATTTTCCAATTGTAGGCCCCCAAAGATTAGGGTTATGACGTTCATTGGTTTTACTCAAAGGGCATGCTCAGGACAAAGTTCTACATTGCTTTAAACAAAAAAAAACTCGCGCTTAAACATGAACACACAAACCATCAAAATAATCGGTGAACCGAGTAATTCGCCTCCCATGTTTTGGCGCCAATGCTAAAGCCGAGTTTTTGTTGTTGTTGTTGTTACCGGTACAGTGTACAATGTGGACTGTGACACACCTTGCAATCTTCTCTTTTAATGCTTCGCCTCGATCGTGCGCCGTACATGAACGCCTGATAGTCCATCCTGTCGGACATGAGACACACACACAGACGGTCACACACAAGGCAAAGCGCCTCCCCCCCCCCCCCCGTATAGCCTTCACGTAATTTTTGGAGCAAGTGATGTTAGCGAGCACCTATAAAGACCGGCGCGGTACACGACGGGGTTGGGTGACCAGCACCACGCCCGCCCGCCTTTGTATCCCCAGTGCCAATTCTCACACATTGCACCAGGCACTCATTTGAGGCTGAGTCTACCTAGAGGGGAAGGCCCGTCGGAGAGGTTCAGATAATTGTCATCGGTGTTGGCCGTGAGCAGGAATCGATTTCGGGTTGCCGGGTTCGTAGCACGGTTGGCTACGTACGGTGCGAAAAAAGTTCACCATAAGTACAAAGCGCATTGCCCTAACCACTAGACTAGCGATTCCCGGTCTCTACACACATAGACACGCACGCACATATAGACACACCGCCATACACACAGATCGACATACACACAGCAGACTGACACCCACAGCAGACAGAATCACAATCTTTATTTATACTGGAGGAATCCGATGAGCTATGAAGCTCTTTTTCACAGATGTCTAGTATATACACACACACACAGACGCAATAACACACGCTAACACACCGATACACGCAGAGACACACGCAGAGACACAGACACACACAGGAACGCACAGAGACACGGAGATATTCCGCAACACACACGCGAATATCACTTTACATTATGGGCGCCAATCGCACACACACACATGCGCGGGTGCGCATCAAGGTGTGCGTGCGCATCGACAGGTGGGGATGTGGCAGCACAGCGGCACGCAGACTCACTCACCCTCCTCCTCCTCCTCGCAGAGATCCATCGCCCATCACGGAGAACCGCGACTCGGAGTTGACAAACGAAGTCTCCATTGTACTGCGTCCTTCACAGCCAGAACTAAAAGTCTGCAACTGCTTACGTACGCGGCGTCGGGTTGAACGCGGAACGTGCTGAAAATTAGATCTTGCGTGCTGACATCTCTCTCCGCGATAGCGATTGGCAGGTTAACTAGGCAGGCGGGGAGGCGGACAGGTATTTAGGCGGGTAGGTGGGCAGGTATGCAGGTCTGTAAGCAAGGTAGGCAAGCGCAGGTAAGCTCGATGCGAGTGTGTAGGTGAGGGTCTCCGTTATCCACTCGGCCGCGCGCGCTGCACTCCCGAGGAAGATTTTTCGCTTCTGCAGTTTTTGCTCTGTGCGTGGCTACTGGCACCAACTCGCTCGCACGCACACACACGTAGACTCACACACACACGCGCGCACGCGCGCGGATACACCCACACACATACACGGACGCACGTACACACACACACAGACGAAACGAGCACGCGCGCACGCACGCGCGCCGCGCAGACAACGCCCCGGCACCGACGCGACGTCACCCGGGCGCGCACGCTAGAGTTCACGTGCGGCCGGGGGAGGAGGGAGGAGGGATGGGGGGTGGCGGGAGGGGGAGGATGCGGGGTGGGGGCTAAGGGGTTTTGAGCGGTGGGAGGGAGAGGTGGGAGGGAGAGGAGGGAGGGGGGGTCGCCCGTGAGCTGTGCCGCCTGAACACGAAGTGGGTCCCTGTGGCGGGGAACGGGTGGGGAGGTAGTGGGGAGGCGGCGGTGATGGTGGTGGGGGTCTTGACAGAGAGAAGGACAACAGAGAGAAGTGTAGGCGAGCGGAGATATTACAGAGAGGACCGCGGGGACGCGGTGCACAGAGGGACACGCGGAGACGCAGAGAGGGGGGCACGGGGGAAAGCAGACGATGACACAACCGGGACACGGAGCTAGACGGACAGTGGATGTAGAGAGAGAGAGAGATAGATCGACACACGGAGAGAGTCGCACGTGCAGAGGGAGAGTGGCGCAACAGAACAAAACACACAAAGAGAGACGAATAGACGCAGCACAGAGACCCGGAGAGAGACACCACGGACAGAGGCAAAGTTGCGGTGGCCCGAAGGAAATTGCGGGGGGTGGGGGTTGTAGTCGTGCAGAGGAAGCTCTGCTGCTGCACGGTAGGAGCAGAGAGGAAGATTTCAGGAATTCGCCTCGGGTGGAGGAGGAGGAGGAGGGACGCGAGGATGGCGGTGCGATCTCTCGTGCCCATCATACAGGATGGTCCAGATGTCGTGTGACCCCCCCCCCCCCATTGACGCCAAACATTGCTTTCAAATGCATATAATTTAACGTTTTAGATTATTATATGGGGGTCACGAGACATCTGGACCACACTGTAGATAGCACCCCGCGGCTAGAATAAGTGAGTGACTGCGTTCCACATGAACGTCACGTAAAACTCTCTCTCGCTCCTCCAACACGCACTGACCGGCGTGGTGAAGTATGGTCAAACAACCATCATGACAGGCACGGCGTGGAGGGAGGCCTTCATCCAGCAGCGGATTAAAAAAGGAGCTGTCAGTGATTTACACTTGAACTAGGCTGGGTGGTGGGTTGGTTGGGTGGTGTTGGGTGGTTGGGTGGTGTTGGGTGGTGTGGTGGTGTTGGGTGGTGATGGGTGGTGTGGTGGTGTTGGGTGGTGTGGTGGTGATGGGTGGTGTGGTGGTGATGGGTGGTGTGGTGGTGTTGGGTGGTGATGGGTGGTGTGGTGGTGTTGGGTGGTGTGGTGGTGTTGGGTGGTTGGGTGGTGTTGGGTGGTTGGGTGGTGTTGGGTGGTGTTGAGTGATGATGGGTGGTGTTGGGTGGTGTGGTGGTGTTGGGTGGTGTGGTGGGGTTGGGTGGTGTGGTGGTGTTGGGTGGTGTTGAGTGGTGATGGGTGGTGTTGGGTGGTGTGGTGGTGTTGGGTGGTGTGGTGGGGTTGGGTGGTGTTGGGTGGTGTGGTGGTGATGGGTGGTGTGGTGGTGTTGAGTGATGTGGTGGTGTTGGGTGGTGTGGTGGTGTTGGGTGGTGTTGAGTGGTGATGGGTGGTGTGGTGGTGTTGGGTGGTGTTGGGTGGTGTGGTGGTGATGGGTGGTGTGGTGGTGTTGGGTGGTGATGGGTGGTGTGGTGGTGTTGGGTGGTTGGGTGGTGTTGGGTGGTTGGGTGGTGTTGGGTGGTGTTGAGTGATGATGGGTGGTGTTGGGTGGTGTGGTGGTGTTGGGTGGTGTGGTGGGGTTGGGTGGTGTGGTGGTGTTGGGTGGTTGGGTGGTGTTGGGTGGTGTTGAGTGGTGATGGGTGGTGTTGGGTGGTGTGGTGGTGTTGGGTGGTGTGGTGGGGTTGGGTGGTGTTGGGTGGTGTGGTGGTGATGGGTGGTGTGGTGGTGTTGGGTGGTGTGGTGGTGTTGGGTGGTGTGGTGGTGTTGGGTGATGTGGTGGTGATGGGTGGTGTGGTGGTGTTGGGTGGTGTGGTGGTGTGGTGGTGTTGGGTGGTGTGGTGGTGTTGAGTGATGTGGTGGTGTTGGGTGGTGTGGTGGTGTTGGGTGGTGTGGTGGTGATGGGTGGTGTGGTGGTGTTGAGTGGTGATGGGTGGTGTTGGGTGGTGTGGTGGTGTTGGGTGGTGTGGTGGTGTTGGGTGGTGTGGTGGTGTTGGGTGATGTGGTGGTGATGGGTGGTGTGGTGGTGATGGGTGGTGTGGTGGTGTTGAGTGGTGATGGGTGGTGTTGGGTGGTGTGGTGGTGATGGGTGGTGTGGTGGTGTTGGGTGGTGTGGTGGTGTTGAGTGATGTGGTGGTGTTGGGTGGTGTGGTGGTGTTGGGTGGTGTGGTGGTGTTGAGTGATGTGGTGGTGTTGGGTGGTGTGGTGGTGTTGGGTGGTGTGGTGGTGATGGGTGGTGTTGAGTGATGTGGTGGTGTTGGGTGGTGTTGAGTGGTGATGGGTGGTGTGGTGGTGTTGGGTGGTGTTGAGTGATGTGGTGGTGTTGGGTGGTGTTGAGTGGTGATGGGTGGTGTGGTGGTGTTGGGTGGTGTTGAGTGATGTGGTGGTGTTGGGTGGTGTTGAGTGGTGATGGGTGGTGTTGGGTGGTGTGGTGGTGTTGGGTGGTGTTGAGTGATGTGGTGGTGTTGGGTGGTGTTGAGTGGTGATGGGTGGTGTGGTGGTGTTGGGTGGTGTTGGGTGGTGTGGTGGTGATGGGTGGTGTGGTGGTGTTGGGTGGTGTTGAGTCGTGATGGGTGGTGGGGTGGTGTTTTCCGATTCTAAAATCTTTAGCGTTACGCTCCTAACTCCAAAATATGACATGACTCATTGGAGTCTTAATAGGTGCTCGCTAACAGCGCTCGTTCCAGCAGTTGTCCACGTTAAACCGGAGTACATCAGTAACAAAATACGTAACATTGCTGTGTACAATACGCGTAGACGACCGTGGTTCAGTGACGGATGTAAATGATAATGATGATATAATGGTAGCCAGACAGCTACAATTTGGCATAACTATAGTTGAGTCTACGATAAATCGTAGAAGAATCGAAACTAACTTAACTTGGGCCCCCAAAAGTAATTCGATTTTTTTTCACGAGGCAGGCTTAACGATAGGTTCTGCAAGTCTCGCGGAAGACTCGTGTTACAGAAGTACGATTCCCACCATCACTGAACCAATAACATCGACTGCACTCCGATTTCCAAGCAGTGCATACAAAGATAAAGACAAAGTCCCCCCCCCCCCACCCCCGTCACAATAGCCTTAACAGACGTTTTGGGGCAAGTGCTGTTCGCGAGCACCTATGAAGGTCGGCACGGCACACACGACGGGGTGGGTGGCCAGCACCACGCCCGGCCGCCTTTGTCTTCCGCACCAGGTACTCAATTGAGGCGTGGTCGACCTAGGGGAGGCCCATGACCGGTTCAGATAATCGTCACCGGTGTTGGCCGTGAGCGGAAATCGAACTCGGGTCACCGGGTTCGTAGCGCAGCGTAGCGATTACCGCACAACATACACACACGTTTCTAAATTAACATCCCCATATATTAAGACTGGGTAAATGTTACGTCATCGAGCCCTCTATTAAGGCCGGGGCGGCACGGACGAGAGCGATGTGGTCAGAACCACGGCCGGCCGCCTTTGTTTCTCTAGTAGCGATGTCTCCACCTCGCACCGGGGCACTCTCATGCAAGTGCCGAGTCGGCCTAGGGGACCCCCAGGCACCGGTTCAAATAAATCGCCACTGACGTTAGACGTGGCCCGCGGTCATGGAACTCAGGTAGGCCGGTTTCGTAATGCGGTGCGCAAGTCACCGCTCCGCACACACGATACACACATGCCCACCCACACACAAACAACACGACTGACTTGCACCAACTGCGCTATGCCGTGTGTGTGGGGAGGGGGTAAGGACGACTCAACACTACTGCTCGATGTTTATTCTCGCTCTGGAGGTTGGGTGGCGGCGTATGGGGGTGGAGGGGTGGCCGAGGCGCGCACGCACGCACGCACGTGTGCGAGTCCTAATCTTCCCTTCTCTCTTCTCGCACCAGCAGGATCATGCTCAGGGCACGTATGTTTACGCGCCCCTCCGGGTCCAGAAAAAGCACAGCCCCGTAGCCCCCCCCCACCCACGTCTTCATCCATCCCACCCCCATCCTTCCCAGCATCACCACTCCTCTACCCCAGCAATAACCCCACGCTACCCCCAACGCCGTCCTCAGAGCCCCCCCTCGCGCACCCAGCCCTAACCCCCCCTCCTCCCCTCCCCACAAGCCCCGTGGGGTTTTCTCCTCCCTCCCCTCCCCCCGCCTCCCTCCTCCCACACGGCGCTGCCTACCGCGGTGATGTCCGAGCCAAGGAGGCGGCGCGCCACGCCACCCACCCACGCGCTGCGCGCGTGCGCGTGGCCCCAATGCGGTGCTCGCACGCATTGGGGCAGAGCAATAGACGGAGATGTAGACTGGTCGGTAGACACAGACAGACAGGCGGACGTACGGTTAGATCGGCTGCCTGACAGATGGACAGGCCGGATTAGTTGATGAATGGACAGGCTGGCTGGCGGGATACCACACCGACACGCAGATAGGCTGGCCGACAGAGACGATCATGTTGACAGATCAGATAGAGAAGCATACAGAGAGGCAGGCAGGGAGATACACAAGATGGTTAGACAAAGAGATACATAGACACACATACAGATAGCGCAGACAAGGTAAGGCAGGACACACATTGCGGATCCGTGAGATATATCTGTCCATACTTCACCGCGCTGGTCAGTACGGGTTGGTGAAGATGGGGGGGGGGGCAGAATAAACACCTATTTATAGCCCACTGGGACAAGGCCTGTTAGCGAGCACCTATTAAAAGGCGAACACACGAGAGAGTGCCGTGCAGGGGGAGGTGGTGGGTGGCTATGTTTTGCCAGGCCACACCACCGGCAGAGGTGGCTAATTTTAGGCCGAGTTTACCCAAGGGAGGGACAGTACAAGTTGAGGTGCCAATTTATCCTTGCGCGCGCGCACACACACACACGCGCCCACATACACA